TCACCATCAAAACCACCACCACCATTACCATCACCACCACCACCATCACCATCACCACCACCATCATTACCATCACCACCACCACCACCACCACCACCATCACTACCATCACCACCTCCACCACCACCACCACCACCACCACCACCCCTTTGAGACAGGATCTCATTTTGTCTCGGGCTGGTCTGAAACATATTGTGTAACTCAGGCTGGTGTCCAGGTCCTGGCAATCCTCCTGCCTCCGTCCTCAGAACACTGGTATTATATGCATGCGCTACCCTCCCCAACTTTAGGACAGCCTAGCTTGACTCTCCACCCCCACGGCCCTCAACCGTGCCTCACCCTGGGGAAAGGCTGTCTTTCCTCCTTCCTGTCTGGGCCTGGCAGCTGGGGGCCCTCCGCTTTCATTCCGCACACCTTGAGCATCATCCAGATTTTAAAGTTAGTTTTTGTGAAACAAAGCCCTACAGATTGGAGGGTTTTTTGTTTTTTGTTTTTCTTTTACTTGTCCTTTCCCCCTTCCCTCGGGTGGCCTTAAACTCACCAGGTAGCCAAGAATGACTTTGAACTTCTGACCTTCCTACTCCTACCTCCCAAGTGCTGGGATTACAGGTGTGCTCCTCCATCCCTGTCTCTGTTCTCTGTTGAGAACTGAGCCCAGGGCTTTTCAAGTGCTAGGGAAGCACGCTCAGAAAGGAGTCACGTCCCAAGCCCCTCCCCCCATATATACATTTTAAACCATTGTCCGGCCATATACTTTTTTGGCAAAGAGAAGATAATGAGCCATAGCACATGTCAGACAATTTGTCCTTACGCTTGTCTTTGTAGAGAGATGAATTTAGCAGGAAAAAAAAGTTGGTGTTTAGCTAATTTTGAAGAAGAATAAATGCATTAGATGGTATTCAGTGAAGCACAATTTGCATAGCATGTAAATGGCATAGAATTGTAATGCAGAGAACCCAGAGTTTTCCAACGGTGAATGGGTCTAATTTATTGCTATTTCTGGGGAATGAAACATTCTGAAGCAATAACTGGAAGATTTAGTTTCTATCTGACAATTTTTACAAAGAGAAATTAGATTACAGAGTGTGTTTTTTTAGTAAACCCCTTGACTAATAAATTGTAATTTAAAGGCCATAATGTACTTCTTTCTTCTAGCTCTGCACCGAAATCGTACACACATCATCTGCCTTAATTTCTAAGCTCTCAGCTCATTTTTATGTACTTGGGAAATTTGCTGTTCTCCGAGTGGAAGAAATCCTAGAAAAATTAATTATTTAATGAGTTTCAATATTCAAATTTGTGGCTGTTCGCTCAGAATGTAAATGCAGAGGCACGTTTAAATTTTAACCAGAGTTCAGTGCAAATTAATATCCACATGGGCAGTGTGCAGCCAGACGAGAAAGGGAAGAAAAGAATGTCTTCAAAGAAAATAGGACAGAGGTCCGCTCCACTGTGAAGCTCGTTGCTCTGCTTCCATGATGAGGTGCCCAGCAGGAAGGAGCTTAGATGCTGATCCCAGATCCAGCCTTTCAAGTGCTTCTCAGAAAAGAAATGGGGAAGAAGGTATGTGGAATTCCATCCAAGTCGGATCCGGTGAGCATCTTAGGAATGTTTATATGAGTGTGAGGATGAAATGGACACCCGTGTTGGCGTCAAGCGACTGTCCAGTCTGGTAGCTAAATATCTTTCAACATGAGAAAGCATGCACAGTTGAGTTTGGCAGTTGGTAGAGACCACGGCCCTGCAGCATGGTGAATGTTGTGAATGCCAACACAGTGCACACTTTGAAATGGGTTTGGATGTGTTATGTGAGTTTTACCTCAATGTTGAAAAGAGGCATAAAAGGAGAAAGAAAGGATCCTGTCTGTCTGGAGGAAAGATGGTAGGGACGGACCATTTGAAAACTGAAGTGCTCAAGACTCTCAGTTTGTTTTTGTTTGTTTGTTTGTTTGTTTGTCTGTCTTGTGGATATTTGCCATTCTGAAAGCTAATGTTGTTATCTGAGTTAGGACAAGAGTCCTGTGAAAGGTAGGTATGACAACACCTGTCCAGTACCCCAAAGCTCTGGGACAAGGAAAGAGGGTGTTGAGTTCGAAGCCAGCCTAAAGCATGACCCTGTCTTGAAAATAAAAAATAGAAGTAAGACAAACTAAGGCAGTCCTGTGAAGACTGTGCTCTTAGAAAGGTATTTGTATACCTGGCGCACATTGGAGACCACAGCTGGCCTGTTTGAGCAAAATACCAGTGTACCAGGTAGGGAGAAGGATGTCTGTTTTAAAACTCAGCTCTGTCCCTGCTTGCTGTGTGGCTGCGGGCAAGGCAAGCTAATTAACCTCTCTGAAACTGTTTCCCTGCTAGCAAATTGGGGGTCATAAAAAACAACCTTACGTGATTTTGGGAAAGATTAATGCCATATGCACAGTGTACGGTGCAGAGAAGCCACTAAGGTTAATAGCCGCGCTTCTTCCTCATCTCCCAGACTCCTTCACTCCGCTCCTGTCTTGAAAGTTGTCATTCTCATCATAGATGTTATTCCCTATGATACAGCAACAACTCTCATGATTGACGGCATTTTCTATGGTACAGCAACAACACTTAAAAAGCTGATCTCAAAGTTACTCTCATTAGGATAACAATGGAAGGTCTTAAGCTCTCCTCGCCTCATATTTCCTTGTAGGAGGGCTTTTTACTGAAACATTGTTCTCCAAACCAAATGCAACCACTGTGTACTTTTGTACAATTCACAGGCTAAGAACAGTTTTAATTGTTATTGTTGTTGTCGTTGTTTGTTTGTTGAGATAGGGTCTCGTATAACCCAGAATGTTCTAGAACTCCCTGCGTAGCTGAAATTGACTCTGAACTCAGGAGCTTCCTTGCCTCTACCTTCAGAGTACTGAGATTATTATGACCCACCATCTCAGCTTCAGTTTTTAATTTTAAATAACAGCAAAAATGAATCAAAAGAAGAATTTGCTGTTGCACCTGAAAATGCAAATTTCATTGTTCATAAATGACATTGTATTGTAACATGGTCACATAATTGCCAAGGGCCGTTTTTTGCCCTGCAGGGGGAAAACTGAGTAGCCCCAGAAAGACCCAGTGGCCCACAAAAAGTACATTCTTTGGTCCATTGCAGAAAATGCAATGTAGCATCATTCCTGGACTCCCCCTATCTGGTTTTCTCTCTCTTGACAGAGACTTCCTTGAATGCATGGGCCACTTGCAGACTGAGTTCATTGCTTTTCTTTATTCTTTTTCTTTCTCTCTCTTTTTTCATAGGCCAATGGAAAACAGAGATCCTGAGGGTCAGGACCTACTCCGCAGGGCTGTGCCAAGACCTGGTTGGAGGACAGGTAATTAAAATGTCCAGAGTGGATGAGAAAGCTCTTCTGGCTGCTGTAAAACCACATTATCTGAACAGCCATCTCGTCTCAACCCAGATGTTCAGATCTCTATTGGTTATGACCCCAGGAGGGAAGAAGGCATGATTTATTGAGTCATTAGACATCCAGCAACCCTTTCCTACCCGGTTGCAGCCTCTGTCTGAACCTTCTCCGTCTCTTATCTAGATCACTAAACACCCTGTGACCCGACCTTCCAGAGTCAGCATCCACCTCCCTCCAATCCCCAGAACCAGGGTGACCTTCCTAAACAGCACCATTCTGACCTCCTTTCCTCTCTCCTGTGAAGAAAGACTACACTAATGGCTCTCTCGTTCACATGTCTGTCCGTACCCACACCCCTGGGTAGCACCTCTCCCTATTGACTCTGCCCCGTGATTTGCTTTGGCCAAGGGGGTAATAACAAACAGTGACACAGCAGCCGCTTGAAACACACCAAACCACTTACTTGTCTGTTTCTTCTCTCGAACTCTGAGTGCCCACACCAGCCTGCTGGAGGGTTGTAGGAGATGTGTCGAGGAGAGCTGAGTTAGCCAGTCAAGTCCATGATGAATAACCCAGGCTCACGAAACCTGATGGCTGACTTCAAATACAGAATGAGTCCAACCAAGGGGGCGGACTGCCTTCACCAACCAGCAGGCCTATGAAAAACAAGCAAGCTGTGTTCAGTCTCTCTCTTTTGGAATGGTTTGTTATTCAGTGCCTGTAACTACCTCTGCAAGCAAAACAGAACCAAAGAATCCCAGAACTCCCTAACAACTCGTGAGGCCTGTGATCTTTCTGAGCTCTGTGCCTTCGAGCTGACCAACTCACTCCGCTACCCATCGTTGTAAGCAGGCTTCCTACAGCCCGGTCTGCTCGAGCAACTGTATCCTGAGTTTTGTGTCTGGCTCTTCTCCTCCCCCAACCCCAGCCCCGATCAGCTCCTCTGTTCTGATGACCCCTTACGTGGAAGTGACTCTCCTACCCTTGCTGCTCAGACCAGATCAGAACTTTGAGTCATGACTCATTGGGTCACAAGATAAGCTTAGATATGCATAACTAGCGGTTTTGGTTTTGGTTTGCCCTGGTTTTTTGTTTTTTGGTTTTTTTTTTTTTTTTTTCTATGCAGGGTTTGAAGCATTGGGCTTGTGCAGAACGGCTGGCATTTTTAAAAAGATGAACTAGCCCCAGGCATGGAGGCACCTGCCTGCAATCCCAGCACTCGGGGAGACCGAAGCAGGGGGAGAGTGAGTTTGAGGACAGCCCAGGCTTTATAATGAGACCCTGTTCCAGAAGAAACAAACCAAAAAATGGTGAAAAAAAAAATAGGAGAGCATAAAGCAGCAAATATCACTGTGGGTTGGGCATAGTAAAAGCAAGTTTGCAATGTATCAGTTCACAGAGCATCGCTATCTGTGGGCTGCAGCCAAAACCTTTTGGAAACACATTGCTTTTTAGCCACATCTTCCGACTCCAAATGACCACCTCCACAAATCTGCCTGCTCCTCCCTCCTTCGTGGTCCCATCCAGGCAGCTCTGACTCAGTGCCTATTCATTTTCACCTACCTCACTACCCGAATCTGAACAGGCCCAAGGCGTCCTGAGGCACCAGCTTCCCTGAACAGTGGCTATTTATTTCTCATGCCTCTGTGTCTCTGGCGTTTGGTTTTTCTTCTACTAATGACAACATTTCTTTATTCATTTGGCTGGGGAAAAAAAAGTTATTTGTTATGTCTGGTCTATATGCATCCTCCATTGTTTGCTTTTCAAGTCAGTTTCAGTATCACCCATCCTCCGCCTTCTCCTCCCTTTTCACCCCCTTCTCACATACACCTCAAAATCTATGTTCCATTGCACCTTCACATTTCTATTGGAGATTCACCAGCATTCCCCTGTGCTCCCATAGTTCCATGTAAACAATGGTCATAACCCTTATCAATGACATAATGATAAAGGCCGAATCTGGGCAAGGGAGCTGGGGTTTGGAGAGACGGCTCAGCGGTTAAGAGCACACATTGAATAGCCAGGCATGACGGTACACTCCTTCAATCCCAGCGCTTGGGAGGCAGAGGCAGGTGGATCTCTGAATCCGAAGCCACCTGGTCTACAAAGTGAGTTCCAAGACAGACAAGACTGAGAGGTCTAATAACCCCACAGCCTCCAAGAGACCCCCAGAAAACCCCAATCTGTTTGGCTAATCTGACTTTATCCTCGAAACATAGAAAAACAGTTTCTGGAAAAACTGAAGCTCACAGGCAGCCAATCAGCTTAAAGGTCAACACATGGGCTTGAGTAAAGTATAATGATTCAGCAAACCTGAGGAAAAGTCCTTAGCAACTCCGGAAAGTTCCTAAATGTTTAGCCAATCCTAAATCCCCCATGCCTCCTGAGTCAACCAATCAAATGAGAGGTTACCTCACTTCTGGAAAGCTCCCTAATTGTCTTTGAATTGAGCGTGCATGCTCACTTTGTGGTCCCATTCTAAGGAGTTGTGGCTCTGGTGTGCTGGTAAAATTTTGCAGAATAAATGCTCCTTGCTTTGCAAAGTACTTGAGTCTGGGGTCTTCCTTCAGTCATTCTCGGACCCTAACAAGGACTACACAGAGAAACTCTGTCTTGAAAAACAACAAACAGACAAACAAACAAACAAACAAACAGAAAAGTGCTAGTTGTTTCTCCAGAGGACTTGAGTTTGATTCGCAGCATCCACATGGAGGCTCAAAATCATGTTAACTCCAGTACCAGGGGATCAACGCTCCTTCTTGCCTCTATGAGCACTGCATGCATGCGGTGCGTAGGCAGAGAACACCCGAACACAGGTAACACTAAAGGCTTATAAAAGGTTTCTAATCCATCTCTGTGTGTTTTCCACCCAAAGACTGGAGGCTGTCAGGGGTGAAAGACTGAATCTTGTTTGTCTTCATGTCACCAACATCTAACGTAGCTTCTGGCATCAGAAGAGCTGGCACTCATCTGGAGGTGAAACGGTCCCTTTGTGCATTTAGGAAGCACAGGTGTCCTGTGGGGATGAGGTGCAGGGTCACTGTTGGTGAAAGGATGATGACACCAGGAAAAAGATGGGAGGGAGGAGCTCCGGTGACCGCTGTGAAGTCCACTCGCCTCTGCAGCAACTCTAGAGCTTCCGTCTAAGGCCTTGGAGAACAGTGACCTGAGCGTGTGAAGCCACTCCACAGCCTCTCCTACTGGGTCTTGTGTGCTGCAACTCAGGAGATGGATAAAGGAGCACACAAGGCAATTGAGAAAGGAGAACTGTGAAAGGCGTCAAACCCTCAGAGCTGGGGAAAAGGGCGCTGTTTATGGACTGGGAGGAGAAGAGAGAACACACGCTTCTGATGCAGAGAGCCCCAATTGGTGGGAGGAACATTTCTCTCAGATTATTCCAAAGAACAGAAATGAGCAGGGAAGTAATGACAGCTTTGGAGAGACCAAGGGAATCATTTAGTTACATGGAAGTATATTCCCATGACACTCGCATGGCTCTCTGCTTTGAGCTGCATTCACAGGTGCTACTGTGAGACTTTTTTTTTTTTTTTATCCACATAAAGCTTGTCCCAGTTACTGGGTTTCCAATAAAGCCTCTACCATGGCCGCTGTTAATTAATTACAGGTTCAGTGAATGGCTGCTCAGTACCACAGGGGAAAAGTCAGCACTGAAATCGCACATCCTGAGTCCCGTGGGCATGGGGGAATGGATGTCCTCTTGGATGTTTATAAACAACTGAGTAGGGCAAGCAGCTCAAGGGGAGCCAATGAATCCTTTCCTTTCTTTAGCTCTTTCACCCTTCCTAAGGCAGCTAAACCATTCTGGTTTGTAAGAAAAGCAGTTCCCAAAATAGCCTGTGTGTCTATAGAAGACTGTACTAGTCAGTAATGAGGGCTGGAGAGTGGAGGGAGGGGGAAATGAGGGAGGGAGAAAGAGGGGGAGAAAGGTCCACTTCTTTTGTGTCGGATGAGTCCATTTCAAGGAGGAAATTTCCCAGGTGAATGTAAAAGAAAGCCAGCTCAACCAGAGCAAAAGAAAGTAAAGGAAGCAGGTAAGAGTCAAAGCCAGGAAGAACAGGAGTGGATTTTGGACTTAAAGTCCATGATGATAAGTCTAAAGTCATGAAGTTCCTTTTGAGGCAAAGACTTGCTTCTTTTTTAATCACTTTTGTCTTTGACTCAGAGAAACATGGGGATTTGAACCGGGTGATGAATCAGTGACCTCAGTGAGCTAATATGCCCAAGCTCTGCTAGCACACTGGGAAACAGCAGCAACCAGAAATCAGATGTCTTCCACAAAGCAGGCTGAGTGATTGTCTGATGAAGCGCTCCCAGGCACAGTTCAAGGGTTACAACTGGAGAAGATATTCTACTGTGCCTTGGAAAAAACTAGGAAATGAGATGATGGGGAGAGCCGAAGGAAAGGAAAAGAATCAATTAGATAATGAGGCTTCGAAGGAAGAAATGGAGCTAATTAAAAAAAAAAAAAAGTTCAAGCGTAGCCAATGGGGGCTTCTCCCTAGACAGGCTTCAGAAAGAAAAACCATCTTTTGATGGCCACTTGTTGACTCCTGCCTCCAACAGTGGCCTCTGTGTCCCCAGCCTGGGAAAGACATTCTTAAGAGAGTCAAGCAGCTAGAAAAAGGACACAGCACTGAGGGACAATTTTAGAATGAGAAAGACTTGTGGAGATGGAAGGTCTTATTAGATGCTGAATCAGAATTTTGATACCTTTAAAATAGTTTGATACATAAAATAACCCATTTGTATATAAGTGACACTGCTGTAGTGTATGTAGCACACACGTTCACTCACGCATTCTGAACTAGACAAGGCATTCAGGATTCTGTGTCTACTGCTGCTGTCAGTTTTTATCCAAAAAGCTAGGCCGTTTGGATCTGTACTCAGGCTAAGCTCTCTTGGTGTCATTTTTTATGACCTGTCCGAACCCCAGACGGTAAGAATTTCTGAAGCTGCAACCACGGCCTCTGGAGCAATGTGTCAGGTCACCTCACTATGAGTCCAGCCCTGTTCTGTGCTCCCAAGTAGATGACTAGCTTTCTGTATCATTAAACACCCGTCATCTCCTTGTACTCAAGATTGCCAGTGGGTTTCTGCCTTGGGAACGCTCCCTGCCTGAGACCTATTTTAGCTAGTTTGTCTACTATAACTTGGTACTTGTTAGAGTCTTACGCTCCTCAGCCGCAGTGACAGAACCCAAGGAGAGGAAGAATTGGGACCCTCCTTCTCCAAGAAAGGGATCAGGACAGAAGAGAGCCAGGGATGGGGGTATGGAGGGAGGTGAACCAATCGGTGTCACAGATCAGCAGTCATAGGGGACTGGGGAACAAAATGGGGATACGCACGGCAAGGTGGCTATTCCTAGGAGATTTGTACATAGCTGCCAGTGTCCCAGGCAGCAGACGGGGATCTTAGGGGTAGAAACTCAGCAGAAGGGGCCTTGTTCCCAGGCAACCTAGCTGGGCATAGAAGAGACCTGATGACTAGCAACTGCCTCTGTAGAGAAAGACTCTCACAGGCCTGGGCAGACAGACGGGGGAGGTGCATTTGTCTCTAAGGCTTTCCCCAGCCTCCCCTCCGGCCCTTACTCTCCCCTGTCATCTGCATTCAGATCTTGCTTCCTAAGATACAGCTTTCTTTCCATCACTCCCTGCTTGGTATCTTTACCAAACGCCTGCCTTGTGGGCATGGCTTCAATTGTCCAGTCCAGTAGCTTTTACAAATCTCCTAGGACAAGACAGCTTGGTACAGACAAAGCCAACTATGGGGCATGCTGCAGACAGATTTAGAAGACAAGGATTGAAAACTGATAGACAAACAAGCTGGGTGTAATGATGCAATCCTTTAATTCCAGCATTTGGGAGGCAAAGGCAGGTGGACCTCTGTGAGCTTGAGGCCAGCCTGGTGCGTATAGTGAGTTGTAGGACAGCAAGAGCGACATAGTGAAACCTTGTGTCAAAACAGAACAAAACAAAAACAAACAAACAAAAAAATCAACCAACCAACAACAACAAAAAACCAACAAAAAAGAAAATAGCTAAAGCCAGGTGTGGGGCGGGATATGTTTGTAATCCCAACACTGGGGAGGCTGGTAGGAAGTACAAAGCCAGCCT